GTTTAAGCCGAAATAAAAATGAAATGTGCATTCACAACTCCAAACATTTAATGCCTACTTGCCTTACCCTTGTTTTTCCTAAATTATGCCCATTACAATCCCTGTGCGAACAGAAGTGTCGCTTAATGCTCATTAAAATTGTTGTGCTTAGTCCTCTGGAGTGCCATAAGTGGAAAGTAGAAAATTGTTCATAGAAATTCTACGTCTCTAATGTGACTGACCTATTTAGAGCTGTTTCAGTTATGGCACTTGTTTTGGCAAAGACGACAAGTTTTGTTGGTGTCTAAACAAAAACTGCGCAATATAAAAGAAAGTGGCCTTTTTTGCTCTGTTTTTAATAAACATGAAAGTTTTTCATTTTGTCAAAGAAAATGAAAACACTTTAAAAACATTTTCCTCAACTAGGAAAATATGGTATTAACATGTGTAGTTAATTACAGCGTCCAAATGCTGCACATTTAAACGCGGGCACTTTCGCTAATTAAATGACATTTTAATTGTCTTTTTTCTACTGTTGTCATAAACACAATTTATATTAACTGTGAAATTATATACAATATTCATCTATATATGTATTCATATATATGTATATTAATTTAATTTTCATCAATTAATGTGTTAAAATTTCAAGTAACAAAGCTTTAAACAAACTTTAGGTTCGGTTAGGTTATACCGACGATCCCTTGTGGATCCACGTAGGCCCATTGTGTTAAAGTATATATAAGAAAAACTTTTCTAGTTCTATAATTTTTTGTTTCTGTTTTTTTAAAATTTTATTATTTAGTCATTTGTGCTACAACTAATCCTAACCCAAGAGAAGATACTCAGCCTTTCGAATAATGTCAATTATATCCTTCGATGAGGAGTTTTTAATATAAGTGCCAGGAGTATGTTTCTTTTAAAGGAATGTGTGTAAAACCCCTGTCGAATAGAGTGGATGTTCTGTGAACTCAGATAATTGCATAACATGAAATAAGCATATTTAGCACAGAGTTTTTAGATTACTTTTATCAATTATCGCTATGTTTGTAAATACATTGCAGAAACTGCAGGATGTAGGAATTCCTTGGTTGGAAGAAATTTATGGGGCATGATTTGGATTCACTTAGTTGGTAGATCATTACCTTGACTGTTTTCATAGTCAAGGTATAAAAACTCATAAGTTCGCCCAAAATTACAGAGTTTGCCTGACTTCTTTCTTACTTAAAACATAATCCTTTTGGTCAATAATGCATAGGAACCTATGCAGACAAACTTCGCATTTCTTTTAATATTTATTTAAGATGGCGTGGAAACATGTAGAAAAAAGGTACAATCCTGCAATTTGTCTGTGATTGTTTAGTTTTGGCAACCAAAATGATCTAATTTTAAAAAAGAAATTATTTGACAGTATGTCGGACTGTTCTTCGGTAGAAATTAAATATCTACTAAATTTCTCAAATTCAACTAATTGTAGGATGTGAAGGATATCTGGTAACTTGACACTGCTTCTAATTAACAATCTAACACATATGTTTTTACATATTCGTAACAGTTTCATTGTATTTAATAGATGAATATGTAAAACGGAGCGCTACTAGATAAACACAAGTTCTGGTAGCGAGCAAATTTATGTTCTGGAACTGTTTGACATGAATAATTAAATCATCGAAGTCGCTCACTAATAGTAAGATGATATAGCAGAGATTCTAAAAATTTGCAGTTTTATTGTATTTAATAGATGAATATGTAAAACGGAGCGCTACTAGATAAACAGAAGTTCTGGTAGCAAGCAAATGTATGTTCTGGAGCTGTTTGATATGAATAATTAAATCATCAAAGTCGCTCACTACTAGTAAGAAGATGATGTAGCAGATATTCTGAAAATTTGCTATTTTTAACAAGTGCTACATTTTTATAAATTTATGGATTAAGTAGAAAGGAACATCTAAGTACTAAAAGAAATAACCCCTTACTTAGGGGAATATATAAGACATTATGATTAGAACGCTTATGACTAGTACATATTTAATAACATCAAAACATAATAATAACCAATTAGAGGACCAGATATATAGAATAGTTACACTAAATGGTATTGAACAATATGTATATTTAATTAGAACTTTATCAGAGTAGTGAATTGTTGGGGTATCTGATCTAAAATATTATGTTCACTATTAGTGCAATTGGATTTACTCCAATCGTAATTATACGAATGATGTATAAATTTTTATTTTCTCACAAGTTAATGAAGTACGGAAGTACGTATTTAATTGTTCTCTTGAAATTATGAAAATAAAAGCACTGTAATTAAATTTGAAAATACTTAAAAATTTTGCATTCTTTTTACAAAAATATCGCTATAATTTTTATTATTAAGTATGCATATTTAACACAAGTTAAACATGCTTTATTGCACTTAACACCTCATTACTTAACTTCCCATCAATTATGGCCTTAAAATTTAACCGCCATCAGTTGATGCCACATTACAAGTGCCAACGCCAAGTACGTATCTTAAATAATGTTAATAACCCTTTAAATTGTACTTTGAATTATAAGCTTTACTTAATTTTTACTAATAATAAACACAAACGCCAACTGTGCACTCATAGGCTGCCTGGGCAATGCAGCCTATACAGCCTATGCAGCGTTACTGTATCAAGTCATTAAATTACGAGAACATTAATTTAGTTTAGCTGCAACAGCAGCAATAGCATTAGTACCCAGAAATTTTACAAGCCTCCATATACGACCTCCATATATAACAGCATCTGTACATATACGTTGTAATTACATGGAATATGTACTTAGATATGTTGATATGTCCGTGCATGCATTCAACCATTGAGTCGACCTTCCGTTCGTCTCTATTGCTACTTCATTGCAGTTTAGTGGGCAGATTGCAGATGAAAGCGTAAGTCAGGGAGCAGATTGCATAAAAACAAAGTCATAGGGTTTTTACGCCACAGACCAATGTCTCGAGACCAGAGCGTATAAATTTTAAGAGGGCAGCGGCGACTCTGGTTCCTGGTGCTGACGTTGATAGACGTTTACGATGCATATTGAAAGCAGTCATTCCTAAACAGGAAACTGTATTCTCATTTTTTTTTTATTTTTTTTTAAATAAATTAAGTGTTGTGTGCTGCATTGCTGTTGCTGAATTTGTTGTTGTTATTGTAGTTGTCTTACGTTCTGCTGCTGCTTTCATAAGCGCATAATGCACTTTGCGTATCTTTAGCTGCTCTTTTGTTTTGGCATATCTTTTGTTTTATATCTCTTTTTATAAATTTATACTATTCTGGCAGGCAGTCAGCAAACAGCAAATAGCAAGCAGCAGCAAGTTTATCTGCAGCTTCAATGTGCAGTGTGCAGTGTGCATTGCCAGTGGCGGAATATGTGTATTGAATTCATAATTGGCAACATTACTCTGGAGTTTGACTGCTGTCGCCCTCATGGCGTTCGTATGCCCAAGTGCATTTATCATTGCATTTTATAATTCAATTTTTTCCTCTTTTCATATAAGTTTTCCTTATCTGAGTGAGTCTATGGAAATGTTAATAGCTACTTCGTTTCTGTTGCATGGCACGTAGTATTGACATATTTGTGCTCGTGCTCCCTTCAAGGTGGAACGTTTGTTTAGCTATGGCATTCATGATTTCTATTAATAGCGGAACTATTTAATATTGGACTTTTCCAAAATACTGCATCTGTTTTACAATATTTTTAAATAGGTTTTGGTAAAAAAAACTATCAGTGTCATTATCAAATTGAAATTATAGAAACTTTTCTATTTTAATATTTTAAATGAAGTTCGTTTGTTAATTAAATGCTTTTTTAAACAATGAATCATAAAGCGATAAAGATATATGCACTTATATAAATGATAAAAAAAAACGTTAATATTAAATCATGATTTATCAGACAGTTTTCATTATGAACTTTAAACACAGTCAATAAAGTGTTTACTCACTTTAAAAACAATGATGATTTCATTCAAAAAATCTGAAGTAAATAACATAATATATTGTTTAATTTAATAGGAAATATAAATTGCATACAGTCGGTATAGTAAGAACACTGTAAAATCTTTAACTTCTCTAGTCTTTTATGTTTTTAGTTGGTGTAAAGAGTTGTTGTACTAAAGGTCTATTTACACCCTTCCACACCATATAGGGATACCTATTATCAATTACTGCCAAAGAGAGAGTCAGACAAGGAAGAGGAAAAGAGAAGAGAAGGACTAGCCCTAGAAGGCATACGTATAGCAGGCATATGTGAGAATGAAAACGATTTCTCAAAACGATAAAGTGGATTTGCGAGTATCTGTATTCAAATTTTCTTTAAAACTTCTTTGTGGTATCACAATGGGCCCTCGTGCAGAACATAAATAAGCCTATTATGTTTTTAAATGTCTAACATATCCTTTTCACAAATTAGTATATAAGCGTCACAAAATATATATACAGTAACCAAACAAATGATTAATAGAACACGAACTTTGTGCTTTGTATAATTATTATTTTAGATGAGTTTTTATATATAAAAAAAAGTTAGTAATTAAAACAGACGTAATTTGATATTTATTAAATCGATTTCGCAATTGTACTATATAAATGAAATAAATTTGCATTATTTCTATTATACTCTGTTAACTGAACTTAAATTATTCATTAGTTTCTCAAGTGGACTTCGTTTATAAAGAGGGGATTACACAATTCTGGTATCTGCAAATGTGGACGTAAAGCTTCTACTCATTTTATCTGCTCATGTGTTGCGATTATATAAAAAATGATCCAGAACGTCAATCTGGCTTTCAAGCAATATTTTTAGGTCCTGATTTGTCAATGTTAGCTTGAGAGATATTATCCTGTAATAACACAATCATTGTCAAAAGTCGAAGTCTATTATTGTTCCTTTTAATAACAATACATATAAATGTCAAAGATTTTATGTTTCTATGTATATCTATGTATAAATCTTATAAATATTAATAATAACTTTATTTTTTTTTATAGCTATCCATAACTGGCATGGTGATGTTCGCTACGGTATACCACTTGATGTTGGCGATTCTGTTGAAATTCTGGAAGAATGTGGTAAATGGTATCGAGGTACATCCCCACGTAGATCGCGTGCAGTTGGGCTTTTTCCTAAAACTTACATACACATAAAAGATCTTACAAAAATCGATCCTGTAGTAGCAGAATGTACACAAGTGTTACGGGAATGGTCTGAAATATGGAAAAAGTTGTATGTGGTAAGTATTGTGATTTATTTTTTACTTTTGAAGATTATCTCGATAGAGTGTAATTCAATGTCTTCTTTTAGGATCGAGAAGCATACAAATTTCAAACGCTGCGAAAAGTAATGCTTTCTATTCTGGAAAGTCGTAGAGAATTACTGGGTGCAACATTAACACAGGATCAGACTTTAGAATTGCAAATGATGGTTGTGTCAAAAATTGATTGGGGAAATCGGTAAGTGAAAAAGAAATATTTACTATTTTTATTTATATATATATATTTTATTTATATGTATAGAATATTTTTAAAAAAGTTTTCTTTTAAAATCACAAACTTTTGTTATAAACAAATTCCTAAATATTAACTTAATTAATATTAAATTTAAAATTTTCATATCGGTACAATTTGCGTTTCCTGCTTATATAAAATTATAAAAAATCTAATGAGGCGTGTATGTGATTTAGAAAAGTGCGAACAAAACTTTAATAATAAATACTTACAATTTTTAATTAAGCTTGAATTTTAATGAAATGAATATATTGGAATGTTAATATAATGTCACAAAAAGCACGTATTATTTTATGAAAGCAATTCAAGAAAAAAGTCTTTTCGTATCTTGAGTTAGATATTAATTATCATAACTTTTTTATTTTGATATATTTTATTTATTTTTTTTTTAAATATATTTTTTTCAAGAAATAAATTAAAATTAATAAAAGATGATTGTAAAATAAAATCACTTAAAAAACTTTTATTAAATTATTTATTTAATTTATTTATATTCATATTGTTGCTATAAAAAAATGTGCATACTTTTTGATATAGTATTTTGTTTTTTTTTTTAATCATTTTTCTTAAAAAAATAAATTAAAATTAATAAAAGAAAATTGTAAAATGATATCACTTGAAAAACTTTTATTAAAATATTTATTTAATATATTTACCATATATTCATATTTTTGCTATAGAAATATGTATACTTTTAGTCAGGTTGAATAGTGAATATGTATGTCAGGGCATATAGCGATTATGAGTCCGTTGACCTATGGATCAGGTTGAACTATCTCTTAGCACTATTAAAATAAAATTGTGTTCTTAAATAAATTTTAAATTTTGATTCAGAATTTATTCTGATTTGCTGGATATAATTTTGACGTAGTTTATAAAAAATACAAACAAAGAAATTAAAAAATCAAGTCCACGCATTCTTTATTTTTTGCTTTATATCCGGATGATATTACAACGGTCCAATTCTTAAGTATGCACTTTGCCAAATTAGAAACCAGCTTTTCTATCTATCTGTCTATTATCCACCCAGAATTTTCTAAATTATTAAATTCCAACTTTATGTAATAATTTTTACATATTTAAAAACTTTGCATAAAATATTATAATATTATTTAAAAGTTTTTCATCCAAAATCATTATGTGTTATATATTGAATCAAAAATAAATAGTTTTTTTATTAATCTTGAAATAATAATTTTATTTTACCTTTAAAATGATTTTATCAAATATCTTTAAATACCTTTATATTAACTGCCATAGTATTATAGAAGTTATCTTTAGGTTATGAATCATCAATTTACGAAAAGAACTTAATTCTTTAAAGAATAATTTAAAGTAAATAAAATATATATATCGATTTCCTAATATAAATTCGTTATTAAACTGTTAACATATAGTTAAAATTAAAATATTTAAATTGTGTCCAAATTTCACTAGCAATGTCAATAAGATTTATTTAAATACAATAAAATTTATTAAATAAAAATTATATAGCAATATTTTTTGCTAACACTTTTAAAAAAGTTTATATCAAAAATTACAGTCTTAAGTAAATATTATAAGCTTTATATATATAGAAGTTTAATTTTTATATATAATAAAATTACAAAAATACATTTCATAAGTGATTAAGGAAAATATAATTTCGTTTTATAAAAATATATTTTTTATATGTAGTTAATTTTTAATAATTAATATAATTAAATAAGTTCAATTTAAATTTTTTCTGTATAGTTATAACATTTTTTTAAATTTTTTTATTTCAATTTCAGAAAAATTTTTTTATAAGTTTTGCACAGCTGTCGTATTTATTTATACAATATTTTATCATATACAAAATTTTCATATATATATTATATAATAATATATTTATATAATATTTAAAATTCTTCTTGTCCTTGAAAATTTATAAGAATTTCAAATGTGTATAAACGATTTAGAGGCTTAATGCAAAAAACAATGAGCCTTAATGCATTATTATAATTTTATTTTATTTTATAATTTTATTTTATTTGTAATAATAATTGAATGCTGCATGCAAAGAAATTTTAAAAGAATTGCGGACTTACATTCTACTTAATCGGAATTTAATGTAAAATATATTGATTTTTATTATATAGTATTTATTGCTTTATAATAATGGCCTTCTTCTAAATTTAAATATTATCATATTAAAATAAGTGAGAAATCATTCGTTACAACTATCATTGATTGCATTTTTTAAGTATAACTGAAGCATACTATGTAAGAAGGTTAGGATCAGTTGTTTCGACGAAATTAGTCAATTTCTGGATACATAGGATGCATTTCTATGGTAGATGGTGCTGATGGTGTTCTAGAAGTACCCACTAAATTGCATAGTTCTTGCACCATTTCGCAATATGACTTCGTATTAACATTTTGTCCCAGGAAATGCAAAATTAAGAAATCTCCCACCTAAATATAAAGAGTTGTATTATATTGTATTTGTATACATATGTTGATATAAGTATAAATTACTTACGTCAAGACGTCTTACGAGACTTTGTATATCTTTACTTTGTCCCGAACGATAAGAACGTTTTAGTATAGTTTCACGTGTAGTGGGCATCATAACGACAGCAAGAGAGTATAGCATAGCAACACCAGAGATCACGGAAAGTATTATAAACCAGAACCTAAAATATGTTTTGATTTAGTATTTTACACAACAATAGTAAAATAAATTTTTACTTACCACAAAAATATATATATTTTCTCATTTAATATATTTAAAGCCAATACACATAAAGTATCGTGACGCTGTGGTGAACCACCAGGACCGAATTTGTGGAATGTACATTTTGTTAGTCGTGGAAATATTTCAATCATTGGATCATAACGTGTGTCTTGATCCATATTAGAGAATTTTATAACATCAGTACCATAAGTCAAGAATGCACCACCCAAAAATTTATCAACCATAAATATATTAAGCACTACATTGGCAAAATTCAAAGCTTCACAAAAGAAGTAGGCAAATGAATAGCCACTGTGTGAGTTCATGCTGTCCAATAGATATTTAATTATACGATTTTGGCGATTTTTACGATAGTCCTCTGGTATTGTAACAAAACCACGTAAACCTTCAGTTATCATACGCATTTTACCATCTTCTAAGTTTTTCCAAATCCAATGTGGTATATAGAACATGAGACCCTTACAAAAAATAAAAATATTAAAATTAGGATTTAGGTAAAAACTATTTTATTTGTATGCTTCTTTTACCTGGAAAAATAACACGAATGGCACCCACTGATAGTAGCTGTGATATCTTTTCTCTTGACCGAATTCATTACCCAAGCCATGACTTGCAACTTCTGTGCCAATTTGTTTATACTGTTGTCGTGGTATGGTAAATGTATACGTTATCCAACAAAATGTGTTTATAACGTGCATTGGTATGGAACCATCATTTATGCAAGAAATTGGATCCCCTGCAAAATCAACAATAAAAATATTCTTATATATTCTTATATAGTATAAAGCTTCTCAATGCAAAAAAATTAGAATAATTTAACTTGTATCAATTTAATTTATTATTTTTAATATTTTATGGCAGTATAAAAACTTGTTTATTTTTTTAATTTCCTTTGTAAATAAACTTTGGCCTAATTTATGAGTTTAATTTTGAATCGCCTTCCATCCAATACTAAAATTGTGTGAGAAGAATTTCCTCAAAGTTAAAGCAATCTAAATTCAAATCTGTTGCTATGAACTCGCACAATACCGTCAACGCTTAATATAAAGACGGCCAACGAACTCTTGTGGGTGTGTAATTTACTGACTTACAAGTACTTGATTTGTAATGAAGCGTTCCATGTTTGTAAAGTAATAAGAAAAGTACAGAATAAGACGACTATGGACTGGCCGCTTGCCTGTTGAATTCAAATAACTTTAAAGTTTTTAGAGTATGCGCTACGCAAAGATAAGACTTTGAAGTGCACTTGTCTGTCGTCTTGCCGCGTTCATCACCAGAAGAGGAACAATTCAAAAAAAATCAGTTTATTTATTTTCTTTTCTTTTTATATTATTTAAATTATATTCTTTTATTTTTCTGTGATAGAGTTGAAAGGTAGATTCTGGAATTTCCACCTTGCCCAATCATTTGGAAATTAGGGAGTGTCGTTTATCTTAGTTTTTTAGATTTTATCTTTGCTTTTTATTTGATTTAAAAGATAGTTTTTTTTTGTTTTATTTTAACTATAGAATTCTCAGAAAAATTAGTTACCTTTATAAGAGGAAAGTTAGTTAAATTCTGTACAGTTTTTATACTATACAGTTGGTACACAAAATAATATTTATATTTCTAAGATAATATCAAAAGTATCTACTAATATCAAAAGTATTAAAGCTCTTTTTATTACATATTAAATATATTATGATTAGAAAGCTAACTGCGGGCTAACATAATCCTTAACTTAAAATACTAAACCCTTCATTATAGTTAAGCACTTTTACAAAAAATCATTGCTGAAAGCATTTTTCAACGAAAATGGAAATCATTCTATACAAAGAAAATTTTATTACTTCCGTATCGTAGTGATTCATATGGTGAATTGACAATTTTCCATTAAACAATACATTATTTACTACTCTATGTAATTTTAAAATTATATTTTAGTAAATGAAGCAAAAATTATGAATTCCTATTTGTTAAGCCATTCAAGTTTATGGAAAACTATGAAGCATGGATTGAAAAATAGTAGATATCGCAACAGGCTTGAGGTAGTATGCTTTCATTTGTAACTACACTTCAGTTATGGCACATATAATAGGTTTATATAATTTACATAACAATATAATACAACTAGGAATACATCAGAGCGTGGCTTTGGTGTGCAAGGTCGCTACCTAAACCTAACACAACTTAGGTATACAGATATATGTATACAATACATATATTTATAATATAGAACAATATAACACATATACATAAACATTATAACATTATTGCTTAAAATGAAACCGTTTCATATCTATATCTATGAATATCTATAAATCGTAGATATTTGGAAATATCCGAAAAAGCTGTATGATCAGTCAATAAAATTCACATAATTTTTTAAATTTATTCATATATAGTTAGAAACAATTAGTAATTGCTTTACATATATAGGTTTCACTTAAAATGAACTTCATTTAAAATGCAGTTCATTTAAAACCAAGTTTACTTAAAAACAATTTTACTTAAAACAAAGTTCACTTCGAAAAAATCAAGTTCACTTAAAAACAACTTTACTTAAAACAAAGTGCACTTTGAAAAAATCGAACCATTTTTCGGTTCCCTTCACTCCGGTTTAAGAAAAGAGGATTTATATATATAATATATAGCATATATCATGCTATTTAAATAGAGTAAAAGAAAACTGTTAGGACTATATTATTATAATTAATGTTACATATAGCATATATTATGCTCTTTAAATAGAGTGAAAGAAAACTGTTAGGACTATATTATTATAATTAATGTTACATATAGCATACATTATGCTCTTTGAATAGTGCAAAAGAAAACAGTTAGGACTATATTAGTATATTTAATGCCACAATAATTAAAGTCTTATTCCGATACGAAGATTAAATGAGTATTATTATTATTATTTTATTTATTTTATTGTAATATTCGTTTAAATACTATTTATGTTATATATATATATATATATATGGTAATGGTATTTTGGAGTTTTCGGGTTAGACTAAGGCCCCTATGCACTGCGACCAGTGTGATCTATTGTGCACTATATATATATATATATATATATTATTGTAATATTTCTACAAATAATGATTTTAATAATAATTTTTTTTATATCTTCAATTTGAAATATATAATTATTATCATATATTATATTTTATACCTTAACACATTAGTTAAAATGTTTAAATGATTGTATTTATTGTTGTTGTACTGGTTATTTCAACACCTACAATATCTTTTCGGAATAACATTAAAGCCTAATTTAAGGTAATTCGTACAAATTAACAATATTCTCAGGCTCTGCATGGTATCTAAAACTGAAATTCCTTTTCACTTATTATTACGATATTGAATACTGGAAACCCCTGCTGTTAGTTAAAAAGTAGCACGGTTGAGTCGAGTAGTTCAAAGAATAACACAGTCAAAAACAATAAATTTTTCATTTTATTTATTTTTTCTTTTAAGGAATAGTTTATTTTTTTTTTTTATTTTATTATTAATGAATCATACGAATTTCGTGATATTTTCGCTTACATTTGCGGTTTGAACGTTGGAAAGAACTATACAGTCATTTATTTAAATCAATTCTTATTTGAGAAATTTGATTACTTCCACTTGAATGTGTTACCTGTCTTCGTGCCTACCTACCAATCTAGGTAAAACAGATAACAAAATATCTTTTGATACTTGAGAGATCGTGTTACAAATATTTAGGTTGACAAGCTAACAATGAAAAATGTACACTTTTATATATATTACTATATTTTGAATGAAAATGAAAAACAAAAAGGAAAATAAATAATTATCTTTGCTCAAGAAATCTTGACTTTTGAGTAAATGTTAGCAGCTCTTTTGAACGTGTGAGCTACTAATTTATAAATGCATACTAAATTTTTAAAGTATTTAAGTAGTTAACAATACTATATTTAACATTATGCCAAACTATATTTAGTAACTTTAAACTATTTCACCTATTAACAGGTTGTGGTAATGTGAAATTCAATTGATGTACTTTGCACCTTAAAGTGTAAATGACAGAAATAGCATGTAAGTGCTATTAACAAGCATTTCGAAATAATATTGTTTGGCTTGCGTGTATTGCGTTGCATTTTAGTATCATTATAGTAATATATTATAGTTTATAGTGCATCAATATAAAACTCTTATTTTTTTAACAAGCAAATATTAATTTTTGTTAATTATATTTTTAACATTTTATTAACATAAACGTATTTATTTAACTTTCTACTTACCAATTAAATTATTAGCAGTTACTATGATACAGCATACGAATAGTATTGCTGTTGTAATTCGGTAATGGCAGCGAAAGACCATATTATCTATAACTGCTTTGTCTAGTAAATATCTTATTTTTATAAAGCCAGAGACGGCTGATACCATCCCGAAAAGTGCCATCTTGAAAACAGATGTTTTGCTTTTCCGGTTTTCTTAAGTAATGTATATAGGTTTTATAATTCGTCAACTGTAATTAGAAAAATAAATATTGTTTTAAAAAAAGTATAAAAATTTTCAAAATGAATAATATAATATAAAAACACATATCTATAAGCTTTTGAGTCATTTATAACGATAATTATATTATACATATTATATACCCGTATTGTACTTTATGTAGTTGTTACTTTTTGTTCATTAACAATACTTTTATTCGTTTGTGTGCAGTTAGAACAACCAAATTTATATTTAATTAAATTTATTTAATGAATTTAAAAAGCTTTTCTGTGTTGTTTAGGTTCACAAATGATTCTGTTTTCACAAAAAATTAATAATTATATATGTAGATATGTGTATTCGTATGTTTTGTTTGTGATTTAAATACAAATGCAAAATGCATTGTACTTTCTGTATTCTACACTAATCAAAAGAGAAGTACTTTTATATTATACGAGTATTAGAAGGTTATTATTGTTATTATTAATGGGTTTGTTAAGTTAAAAGTATGTTTGAAAGCAATACAATATACAATACAATACAATACAATGAAGAGAATTGTCTGATCTTTTATATAGAAATCAACTCAAATAAGAGATGCAAAATGCAGTAAACATTGCAATTCATTATTTTTCTTGTTAACTAACACCAAAATATTCAGTATTAATTATTCTAATCCCAAAGAGTACTAAATTTCTTATCTTATTTTTTGAATTGCAACAAAACTCTAACTGAGCACAAGACATTTCGAGTTTAAATACTAATTAGAAAACAAGAACAGTAACATATATTTAAGTATCCTCTTACTAGACCAGTGAAAACAGGTAATCATCAATAATCTGAGAATAAATCTTATCTCTTTCTAGACAATAACATTATTTCACGTTATACAATTTTATCATGAGATAGTCACAGAGATCAATATGACCCGTCAGTCAATATAATAAAACTGACGGGTCAAAACAACAACCTGTTTTGTTGAAAAAGGACACATCGAAAAATTAAACCAATTCCTTTATCCTAGCAGTGGCTTAAGAAAACAGTAATATTAGTAAAATTTTCAATCTATATACAATCATTAATCAAAGTTTTTACTATAGTCCAACTAATCTAAAAAAAGATTAGCCTAAATAGGCTCCATTTCTCAGATTTATATATTGAACAAGTTCTTGAGTATATTACTTGAGTTGAATTACATACATATTTAATGGATTAAGTTTAATGAAACATTTGCAAATTAAATGTTCTAGTTCCTGTTCTTGTAAGAGATTTTATTTATTATCTATATATAAGTAAAATATAGTCAAAAAAGCGAAAAAAAATTAAAAAAAAATTTTAACTTTGAAAATAATAAACATAAGGAAAGCTAGAGATCCAATGATGTATCAAGTAAACTTTCTACGTTCTACCTTTTCATAAGTATTTCAAAGAAGTGGCCGAGATATATTAAAAAAAAATAAGTAAATAACATATATTTTTCTAATGACTTTGATTTATTGAGTTTCTAGAAAGATAATGTGTTGTATATATATATATATAAAAAACCATAAAAAGTTCTAAAATCTTAAATATAGTAAAAATACTATGGAGTCTAAAAGTAACTTACAAATAAACAAAAATACCAAATTCTTAAATATTCGTTACAAAGTTGAGATTAAAATAAAAATTCAATTATCACTGTACCCATATTTAAAATTAAAAGAGTACTGTGACTGTAAAAGTTTTTTTGTGCCAAATAATAAGAGTGTTAAGATCAGAAAGCGCCGCTGATGCCAAACGGGTACACAAATTTTCAGTCTTTCTTCCGTGGAATACAACCGGACAGTAATAACATAGTAATGAAAAAAAGTTATCAATTCTCTGATGTTATTATAAATTTTATACAATTCTACATTTTAAGTAGATACATAAGTGATCTACATAAGTAGATCAAATACATAAAGGATAGAGCCCTGAAATTATTTGCAGACTTGCAGACAGACTTACCAACACCGCATTTTCAAATCTCAGAATGGTTACAGGCTCCTCGGGGAGGTATGCAGATCTGAGGTCAGTTATTGCTTAGTCTAATGAAGTGATAAACAATAATGCAGTCAAGTCGTAAAGAGGGGTTTTGAAAATACCTCGAGTTAAGAAAGAGTAAAAGTGCTTAAGTGCACTGGCTCAAATAGCTTCAACATAATAGATCAATTTAAACCATATATCAAAGAATAAAAAGAATTATCAGTTTTATATGGATGAAATCAAAAATAGATCTCTATCTTTCTAATTTTTTTCATTAAGACTACTGCTTAATACATAGGCTATAATTTGTTGAGTACGGGTGTTAAATAGTCGTGTAAACATGATATATTATGCGTATATGAGTATATACATTCTATAATAATGTATTTTTATGATTATATATGTATAAAATGTGTAACAATTGATAACAGACTCTTTAGCACATTTGTTTCTTAAAGATGCCATGAGTGTTTTATTGTATTTTTAATTACGAAGAAATCAAAAAAGTTCATGACTCATTTTATGCTTAAGATTTACTTAAGCATATAATTTTAATTGTACTTAAATTAATATTTCCCTTTACTAAAAAATGTTTCACAAAAAAAAAATTTAATAAATGTATATACTAGTATAATATATATAAATTACTCTATATGTAATATTTCCTACGCATTTGTTTTTACTATATGTATATCATATGCTCATGTACAGCTTAGTGATAATCAAAAGGAGGTCATAGAAAGGAAGGTCTCATGTTTCGTAGCCAATGCGTTTACGATCAAGATGTTTATAAGCGAATGTGTGTCAGTAATTCTGAAAGAAACTATGTATATCATGAATAATTGCAATAAATTATTTAAAAAAATAAATAAATAAATTTGTTTCTATAACATTTTTGTATAAAGTTGTTCGAAAAGTAATTTCGTTTTGTTATGAAGATGAATGACGATTTTCTTCTTTAGCCATCTATCTGGTAGTAGCATGATTTTATGATCATAAAATGTTTGCTCTTTACTTATGGTATAAAGAAATGATTCAGGGGATTTTTGACCTGCTCATTTCAAGCAAAGGTTTCACCGTACAGACCGTTATAAATAAAAATTAAACGGTTTTATATATTTTTTCCGAATTTTTTTATTTACAGTTTCAAGTGATATATCTTGCTACATTTTCTGAAACTGTCTGCTTCCTTAAAACGATACTGTGTTAAGAACCTCTGATCCCGTTCGTAATCACGAATTACTTAATAAAAAAACTGGTGTTCGGTTAAGATTTGCTGCTCTGGCGACTATTTTCATTACACTTATTATAATAATAAACCTAATATTATATTTGATGTTATATATGACTATATGTCTACTATAAAATATAGCAAATAACAATGATGCAAAAAATATTTGTTTGAGTTGACGCTCATATAATGAGTTTATATGCGATTCACAACATCTTCTCGACTTTTTGTTTATTTCCAATATAATTCAATTTCATTCCCATAGAATATGTTAGATAAAGAAATTTTATTATTTTGAATGATTTATATTTGATTGTTTATTTTCTTGAGTGTGTGAGAATTTTTGATATTTAATACAGGTCTCTATTACCTTACAAAGTTTATTTTGTTCAATACATTGAATAAATAATAATTAAGTGTTAACAAATCAAAAATCTGATTTATACAAAAACTATAATTAACGTATTAATTTTTTATATTATTCGCAGTAGTGGTATTTTTATATAATTAAATATCCAATTAGTATTGTTGAAGCACGATTTTATTTTGAATTTAAACGAATTATTTCAATCATTAATATATTTTTTTATTTTAATTTGCTGTGAGTATAAATAACTTGACTCTACTACTGTATTTTCATGTTTTCATTTAAAATAAATTAAATTCATTATTTTTAAATTATATTTTTATCAATTTCAAAGTCATTATTTATGCACAAAAAAAATATTAACTGTAAATACAGTATGGGGAATCCCATTGTTATGATTTCAGGTTCATTATTATTAATGAATATTTATTTAAAACCATATATGGAAAGTAACGAATCGTATATATATGAAAATTAACCTATGTAAAACACAATAGACATAGCTTTTCAAGTCTACAAATTTAGCAAAATTCTTAATTTTATAAGATGACAGCTCTGTCAAGTCGGTAAGAAAAGAGACTCCAAAGATTTTAAATCTGCTCGTAGCCAGTGATGGACACTGACATATCGTCAGTTCTTCTCATGTGTCAGTGGAGAGTACATCTAGTTAATTTTGTTTAGGTATGCTCAGCTATTTTTATTTGATTGCCAGCTTGGTCATTGCAAGTTGGATACCTGCATTCGGCGTATTTTAGAAGTATAGTACTGTAACACTACACCTAATATCGAGTTATGGTTTAGAACTAGGTAATCACTAATTACTTATGAAATAATGTCTTGACTTGGTCACATACTATGCAAACTTGTGGAACTTATTTACATACATGGCTATAACAACCCGTTACCGGGTTTCGGCCTGAGTATTTACTTAATACATAGTAGAGACAAATTAAAGCTAAGCCACGACTTTATGGAAAAAGCTGATATGCAGTTAATCAATTAGTGTTATTTATTAATAAATAAGTTCAACTGAAATTATTTATTATTTTCAGAAATTTGAAAATCCTATATATAATATATATCCTGTTCAACAATATAGTTTTTGTTTGTTTTCTCAACACTCAACTTAATTTTAATTTTTTTGAAGCTATATTTGTTTTCAATAATTATCTGATAATTTATACATTATCATCATCATCATCATTCATCATTTGCCTATCAAATTATCTAAACTCATCAATTATTTTGTCACATTACGACTGAAAAGTTGGTTCTAGGGAACGAACGAATGGCTTTCATCAAATGTAAATAAAAGTTCGTTTTTTAATTTGCATTGATGCCGTCGCACTACATACAAAACATAACTACACACATGAGCATGAGTACTCATTACATTATTTGTAGTTATAGTGCGGAATTATTTACATTCCCTGCCATATACCCTTGTTTCCTGTTTCCTATTTTCACTCAAAAGATATCCAATCCACTAAATGCTTTTGAGGTACATTTGCGTTTAAGCTGCTGCACTGTGAAATTATATTGAGTGTGTATTTTTCTTTTTGTGTATTTTGTATTTTGCATTTTGTATTGTATTTGTTTATTTTCTTTTGCTTTTAATAATTTTCTTTTATTTTTACTTAGTGTTTTTCTTTTTTATTTTGTTTTGTATATTCGTACACTTCTTACGTTGAGTAACGAAAATGCAAAAGACATTAAAAAGTACAAAGCCGTAAAGTAAAAATTTGCTTTATGCCACACCAAAGTTTCATACTTCATTTTATGCTCCGTGAAGTTACTTAAAACAATAACAACACTGGGACTAGTCTGTTACGGGTACGGGTATGGGTACTGGCACAAGCAAAGGCAGTCAGTGTCAGAGGCAGAGGCACAGCACGCATAAAAGAGTTTTTGTTTTTAGATACTTCTTGGTTTTTTTCTTTTTTTTTTCTTTTTGATTTTGGTTCTACAAGATACAAGATACATTTTGAAACTGGTTTTAAGGTATTTTTCTCTTTTTTGTTTTATTGTTGCTATTGGTGTTGCTGTTACTGCCCGTGAAACACCGCGAGAAATTCAATTTTATCTACAATTCAAAAGTATTTGAAACATACTTTTCTTTTGTATTTTGAAATGTTGTATTTTATCGCTTTTAATGTTAAAAATATGTTAATTTGTTTGTGTTTAATTGCAAAAATCGTGTCACCTTTTGTCTGTGAAAACTTGTTCTTTTCACTTCACTTATCTTTTATGAATTTTTAATATTTTGCTAAAAGTTTGCTCACCTTTACAGATTCTTTCCTTTGAAATTTTATATATTATACATTAAATTTTAGTATATTTCCTTTACGAATACAACAATTTACGTATATAACTTTCAACACTGTATTATATTGTATAAAATTTATTTTATTTATCTTAGTTTTAAGATATTTTCACTTTAATTAGATTATTTCGATTCGCTCTTAAATGAAATACAATTTAACATAAATGCATCGATGCACACCCTGCCTATGGTTACAGCGCTTGTTGCTGTAACAATTACAACAATACAAAAATATTGCAGATGGACGATTTCTGCTACTGTTGGTACTGATGGTGGTAGAAGTATGTATCTAACCAACTACTTGCCATCCATGTATTGTAGCTGCTAACCTCCGCGCTGTTCAAAAACGTACTGAAGCATGCATCATACATTAAACCTCACAAAACCGACACACACATTCTTCAATACTCACTTACTTACAATAGGTACGAGTAGATACTCTCTTTTTTTGTAGAAATGTATTTCAATTACATACACTTAGATACTTTTATTGCACACATAAACTATAGTTAAGCTATAAAAGTGATTTTGTATCTCACTACACTACAGACTAGATTTGAGCCGAGTTTCAATCATACTCACACTCATATCGCGTTTGTATTTTCGATCATTTTGTCATTAACATATCACTCTGAAATCACTCTAAATATAACTCACTCCACTCATTCGAACTCAGAGAAAAGTGTGTGATCTACGAATTTAGCGTTAACGTTCTTCAACATTTAACACTGCTTATCCTAGTCTCTTTTATTTTTGTAGCTTCATTGATTTCATTTGTCCTTTTTATTTGTTTGCAGCATGTATCTTTCTAAAGGGTTTTATTGATATAGTATTATTTTATGACTCCTTTATACTTTGTTACCAGCTGCTATTGCCTGTTGCTTGTTGCTACCTAAAATTTCAATGCCCGATTGTTGTTCGGTTAGTTTGGATGCTTGTGTGGTACAAGAAGACTGTAGCCTAGGCTAACCTAAGCGTTGCTTGACTCATAGCCATTGAATACGGCAAGCGGCAACAGCGCACCAGCACTTCACCATCGTTATTAAATGTCGATGATTGATCTAAAACACGTATTTGCATTAAGCGCATACTTGGAGATCTCTTCGATTTACACTGTGCAAAATTTTTGGCATATTTCTACGCGTGGGTATCCATAAACGCGTACTGAAGATTTCTTGTTCTGCTTAGTTTTCTGTATTCTATGTTGGGAAATATGGTATATTTAATAAATTGGATTGAAATTATAACTTTAAAATTTTTTTAATTTATTCTTAAAAGTTATACATAAATATGTTAGCATTTTTTCTTTAAAAATCCGCTTGGAAACTTATTAGAATTTATTTTTATAGGTATTCAGATATTAAGTATAAAGACCACTGATGATGAGTTCTTGGCAATACTCGAAACAGCGTTGTATGGTCAGCCAAATTTTAATAAATTAACTAAATTTTTGTGCTTGTCTTTTCTTTGCTATTCGAATCCTTCTACATCTTAAAAAAATAGCTTGTTTGTAGTCATAAGAAACGTAGCTTTTGGAAACATAGCTTTTGGCTAGAAAAATATTTAATTTTAGCATAGCTTCTTGTTCGTCAACAGTCTTACAAACCTATATTATAATGTTAATAATAATAACAGCTGAACACTACAATCACAGTATTTTTCTTCCGCCACTACTAACGTTACTTGAACAAGAGTCACTCAGCCTTTTGCGTGAAAGCTAGAATGTTTTTCATTGAGGAGCACTCAGAAGGAATGTGATTAGAAGTTTAAAAAGTCCTTTTCTACACAGAGATGACATTAGGTAACCTAAGACAGGCCTTACTTCTTGAGTTGTTGGTGTAAAATAAACTATCCCGATAAGAAATTTAACAGTAACTTCAGTTAATATCGGTTTTAGTAAGGAGCTGTAATCCTTATAGTAGCAAAGTTGGACAGTTGCGAAATTTGATCATCTTCCAGAAACGACATTTACCTCAGACAATCATAATTTCTTGAGATGTTTGTGCAATTTAAAATATACTAATAAGTATCTTAATAATAAACTCAGTTAATATCGATCACAAGATTGTCGTCCCTATATTCTCTTCTTGACACACAGCAAAGCCCAACAATCACAAAGAATCAGAAAGATTCTCCGCCAAACAGAGATGACATGCTGTTCTTTTAAGTAATTTAACTATAATCTTAGTTATTAACAATCATAGTTAGAAGCTGTAGTCCCTATATTCTCCTCTTGACCCACAACAAAGTCCAACAATTACGAAAGATACGAAAAGAATGTTCACACTCTTTTAGAAAGACTCGACATTTATCTCCTTAGACAGATTTATCTTTTTGAGATGTTTGCGCAAATTAAGATATACTTATATGTAACTTAACAATAACATCAGTTAATATTGGTCATAGTTAGGTAGTTCTAAGTTGTTCTCTGAATCGACAGCCGGACCATTAGAGATAATATTATAAGGAGAATTTGATCTTTAAGAGTTAATTAAAAATCTTAGTAGAATATTTTTATAACCCTTCCTTTAACGGTCTTAAATACCTGTTAATTTCTAATTATAGCTTTTAAATTACATTTGTATTTTATTATAATTTAAAATAGTTATCACTTATCATAACTTGTCACACTTTAATATTGGTAAATTTATTTTAATTAAAACTTCTTCAACCAAGTACTTAATTAACAAGAATTATGTAGCACATAAAGTATAAACTTTACGTTTCTTTAGTCGCATTAAATCCTACAAGCTTTTATCTTTTGAAGAAATGAAAACGTAAATGCTTATTGCCTTTCGAAACCTGCTTTCAGCACAATATGCATACATAATGGCAGTACATATATTTATATATATACATATAGAAATATTTGTGTGCATATAAATATATATATATATATATAAAATATATTTGAACTCACATTTGTGCTCTTGTATAGCCAAGACACTATCTTCACATGATCTCACATATTTCATCGTCATTGTCGTTTACTTAAGTTTGCCCAATCGAAAAAAGAACAAACCAAACTAACCAAACCTTTTTAAATGTTTTGCGGTGCTCGTTTTTGTCGCATTTGTTGCCAAGCTTTCAGTTGACTTTTTAAATAGTAGAATTGTAGAACGACACGTTTTTAGGAACGCAGTTGAGGTTCGGTTCGTTAGTATATGCGTGACCCTTAAAGCCAGAGTCGTGACCGTAAGGAATTTATCACAAAAAAAAAAAAAAATAACTAAACAGAACTGTGTATATGGACTTTTTTTTGAAGCAATAACTTTCTATTAATTTAAATTATTAAGTTAATCCACGAAACCTATAGAAAACTTAGAAAGTATCAGCAAATTTTCTTATTAACACATTGCCACAAGTATTCTAGTGAATACTTAATCAGGATCTAAGATGTGGACATGTTGTGCATTCAAACTGTAGTTTGTACAGTAGCAGTTTTAAAGAATATTTCTTTTATTGGTGATAGCCTAGTTCTCAGACCCCAGAAGCGTTAGTTATTTTAAGGAAGTTTGTATATAGAGACCTCTCTTTTAGAATATAAAAAAACTAATTGTATTGTGGCTAGTAACCACTTTAGCTATTTTGAAATATTTATTTATACTACTTCTTTAAGGATTCATTACTCCTTAAAGCTATAATATTTAACTTACTTCACAATATCTCTAAAAAGTTTATCCAAGGAGTAACTAATTCTTTTAGTAAAAGGTGAGCTATGGATGACCTGTTATTTAACTTAGTAAATAACATCCCTCTCTCTAAAATTGTGAGCAATGCGAAACCCAGAGATTTATTCCAATGTGTGTCGTTGAGTACAAAATTTTTTAAAAATGGTTTTTTTATTTCTTAGTTATTATTATTATTACATTATTATAATATTATTATTATATTATAGTATTATTTATTATTAATTTTTTAGTTAACATCATAAAGTTGGTTGAAGCTTCATAATTAACTACTAGTTTAGTATACAGTTGAAAATTTTCCAATATCAGATGTAAACCTATCTAGTCCTCATACACCTCATAAGTCAATGTCCTTTAACTTGGAAGTTGGTTTTATAGAAAAACTATTATTAGCTTCATAATTAACTACTAGTTTAGTATACAGTTGAAAATTTTCCAATATCAGATGTAAACCTATCTAGTCCTCATACACCTCATAAGTCAATGTCCTTTAACTTTGAAGTTGGTTTTATAGAAAAACTATTATTATAGAAAAACTATTATTTCTGTTATGATAATTTTTGTTCTAGAAGTTTTTCAAAAATATTTCAAACCTACTTAAAATAATAATGTACGCCACTGCTTTTTGTAATCGTTAATATAGCAAATCTCTTTGCGGATTGTGAATTTGTAATAGTTGGAAATTCGTCAGAGTGTCAAAGGACCAGACAGTGCGACTAAGTTGCCAGTGGTTCACACATTATAAAATCACATAACGATTTCTTATAACTTTTTCACGAAAAAAAATCTCTTGAACCTACTTTAATGTCTGCTTTTAATTTTTTTTTATTTATTTTTTTAATTCCTTTTTTTTTTGTTGATATTTATTTTCTTATTGTTAATCTAAAAAAAAGAAAAAAATAAAAAATATAACCATAATAAAATAATAATAATAAAACGAGATAAAAACTTAACCATATTTGTTATGGGTATATGTGATATTGAGGATATCTTTCACTCTTTATTCCTTTTCTTATTTGACAAGCGATACTGGCCGGTATCGTACCGCACCTCACGCAGCGATGTTCGGTGCGCGCAACTCTTATAAAGATATTAACATTTTTAAGCAGATATGTTACCTCACATTGCTTATCGATGTGTAAATAATGTTGTTTCCACTTATCTTTAATTTATTTAATTTTAAATGTGTTCTAATACCTACGAACCACATTTCTTGATATGCTTTTCCCCAAATATGTATCTATATCTTGCATTCTAAACACACAAATTGCTTGCTTACACTTCCCTAATGCATAAAACACTGAAGCACATGCTTAAGTGTTATTCTAACAAATTTCTTTGGGTTTAAGTTTGTAATATTCTTCTAATTCGATTCTTAAAGAAAAAATCATAAGCACGAAACTCGATTAGTAAGAGTATTTAATTAAAACTGACTTAAAGAGTTCGTTCGTTACTGAATCTGCTACTGTTTATTTTGATATGCCTCTGAGATCTTGCCTTGCGGATACATTTGGTAAAGTTTGCTTACTTTAAGCACTTTTAGCTTGGCTTACCTCTGTTAGGGCTAAAGTAGACAAGTGTTTTTTTTTTAAGAAATACATAACCAATTTGTCATACATAACAAATTCAATCCTAAGATACAAGTTACGACTCAGTTAAGCTGA